GAGATCTATCCAGAAAAACATTAATGCAATCATTTCCATAATGAAAAAACAGCACTGAAAAATTCAACTACCACTCAGTTTCTGCAAAATAGGAATGAATGGGAAGCTCCTAAATTTAATAAAGAATATCTACAAAATTTCTATAGCTCACAGCCCAGAAAGAATGGTAATAAAACTAAATACTTTTTCCTTTAAGGAACACAAGACTCATGTTCTCATTCAAGAGTCTTCTTCAAAATTATAGTGGAAATTCTATTTAATGCAGTAAAAAGATAAGCAAGTAAAAGTATACAACTGAGAAGGAAGAAATATGGCTCTGTCTGCTGAAAGATGCTATGATTGCCTATTTAAAAACATCCAATAGGGTTGGGAAGGTGGCTCAGTGGTAGAGCACTTGCCTTGCATGTATGAGGCCCTGGGTTCTATTCCTCAGCATCACATAAGCAAAAAGAAAATAGCTAGAAATGGCACTGTGTCTCAAGTGGTAGAGTGCTAGCCTTGAGCTGAAGAGCTGAGGGACAGCTCCAGGCCCAAAGTTCAGGCCCCATGCCTGGACCCAAAAAAAAAAAACCACATCCAATAGATCAATAAAAGTCTTCTGGAAATAATGTACAACTAAAGCATAGCTGAAAGATATAAAATTTATATGCTCAGGTCAGTTGTTTTCCTATATACTGGGAGTAAACAATTAAATTTACAAATTAACACAATTAGATTTACAAATTAAAACACAATGTCACTCTCAAATTGGAAATCTTAGTAAACTTCATAAAATATGTACAAGATAAGGGGGAAACTCTAAAACTTTTATGAAAGAAAATTTTTTTCACTTTTTGTATTGTGAAAATACCGTACAGAGGGGTTACAATACATGGGCAAGGTAATGAGTTCATTTCTTATCAAGCATTGTTGCCTCCTCCTTTGTTTCCCCTTCCCATCCCTTCCCATCCCCCCCAAACACCCTCCCACCCCATACCAAAGTTGTAAAGTTTGTTTTTCAACATAACATCTTGTACATCCATGGTTTCTCTTATTTGCAATAACTAGTGTATGTTGGAGACAAGCAGAAATGGTCAGATAAGTTGATGTTAGGCAAAATGAACCCCAAGATAAGGACTCAAATAGTTTTTCTTTCTTGCTATTGTTTCTAACATATTTATAAGATGATGTATGAAAGAAAATTTTAAAGGATACGTAAAAATAAGCAACTGTTCCAAGTTCATAGATAGATGGCATTTATTTTAAATAATTATTATTTCTAAACTTGTTCTATCATTTAAAACATTCCCAATCAAAATCTCAGATTTACATCATATATATATATATATATATATATATATATATATATAAACTGATTCTAAATTTAGATGGAAAGTTAAAAATTCAGAGGAGTCAACACAAAATGTACTAACAAAGAACAAAGACAGATGATTAACACTATCTAACTTTGAAGATAATTATAAGGCTAAAGTAACCAAGATAGTGTGAGATTGACTAAAAGAGACATAAATACATCAATTCAATAGAATAGAGTTCCAAGTTAAACTAACACAACTGATTTTTAGCAAGGAAGCCAATAAAGTGAGAACTAACTTGTCAATAAATGGTACTGTAACAAATAGAAATCTATGTGCTAAACATAGAAAAAGAAGTTAGAGAACTTACCTATTTTACAAATATAAATCCAAAATGCATTATGAACATAAATATAAAATGCAAAATTAAATGACTTCTATAAATAATATGAAATAAAATCCAGGTGACTTTGTATTTATAATAAATTTCAAGACAACCATAAAAGCAAGACCAGAAAAAAATGGCAGGTTGTATTTCATTGAAATAAAAACCATGAAGCTAATCAGAGACTAAAACAAAAATATATACTCAATAATTTTATTAAAAAATTGTAAATGGGCAAAAACTAAACATACGTCGCACCAAGTAAGATATATAGATGGCAAATAAATATACAAAAATGCTCAGAATCATATTTGTCATCAGAAAAGTACTAAGTCAAAAATCAATATGAATGAAATCTCAAACACAATAAAAAATGCCATTGAGAACATGAGGCAACAGGAATTCTTTTATTGCTGGAGGAAATGCCGAAAAACAGCCACTTTGAAAGCAATCACCAGTTTCTTACAAAAACATATACATTTCACTATATGATCCAGTAATCTATTTCTGCAAAGAATACAATAATTTTAATCTGAAAAGTCTACGTATGAAGACTTATGGAAACTGCATTCATCATAACTAAGAATTGGAGGTCCCACACTGTCTAGGGAAGGTAGTCATAGCATAGAACACCAGACAATGGAATTTTATTCAAATAAAGAAATGTGTTAATCGAGCTATCAGAAAATATGAAGGAAAATTATATGACTATTAAGTAACATAATCTATTCTGAAAAGCTATATACTGTGTGAGTCAAAGTATATAATATTTACAAGAGAATAAAAGTAGGAAAATAGAAAAATAAAGATCAGAGGTTTTAACAATTACAATTCTGCCAATCCATGAATGTGTTTTTTCCATATTCTGATAGCTTCTACAATTTCTTCATTGCTTTATAGTTTCATTATAGAGGTCTTTAATATTTTTAGTTAAGTAATGCCTGAGTACCAAAAGCATATAGATTAAATTTTACTAAGATTTCATTGACATTCTTCAAAGGAATAGGAAAGAAATCCTGAAATTCGTTTAGAAACACAAAAGATCCAAATAACCAAGGCAATCCCAAGTGAAAAGTATCATTGCTGAAGTATCATAATTACAAATTTCAAATACTAGATATCTACAAGTAACAAGCCACTATGTTACTTGAACAAAATTAGACATAGATCAATGAAGGAAAATAGAAAACTCCAAAATAACATACAATTTCTCTTTCTGTAAGTTTATGTTGTCTAATATTGTACTTAAATATGAATTTGTCCTTTATCATATAACTGGAGATAATTTCTCTATAATCCAAATCACCACTAATATTCTCCAGTTTGGGACACTTACAGCTAATTTTGTATGTAAAGATGTTTAAATCAATAAAGTAGTTACTGAAGCAATATCATGGCCAGCACTTTTTAAATGTAAGTTCCAATAATTAGGAACACAAAGTAGCACTTTGCTTTTACAAGGTGAATATTATCTTCTCCATTTTCCCCAGTAAATTAGAGAAATTGATTTTTTTTACATTTTACTGACAATGGCTACTCAAAATGAGATGTATTTCAGACTCATGATAATTAAGTTTGAGTTATTATATTAGTCAATTATCATGAAATTAATGTTTTCCAGTACAGAAAATGGAGTTACAAGATACTAATTCAGGAGATAGCTGGTTGATGTATGCTAGTCCTCAAGCAAAAACTTCAATTGCCTTGAGAAATTCAGGACTAATCTAGAGTAAGCGATAGTATACTTGTATCCCTAAAAACCAAGGATCGTAGGGCTGGGAAGGTGGATCAGTGGTAGAGTGTTTGCCTTGCTTGCATGAGGTCCTGGGTTCAATTCCTTACCATTACATAAGCAGAAAAAGCCAGAAGTGGCACTGTGGCTCAAGTGGTAGAGCAGTAGCCTTGAGCTGAAAAGTTGAGGGACAGTGCACACATCCAGAGTTCAGGCCCCAGGACTGAACAAAACAAAACAAACAAAACAGGATCATTTCTGAAACATAATGATTACACAAGCTGAAAGAGAATTTCTGCTCTGACACCCAATATCCTAAACCAGTGTTGAGGAAAACAGTCACCTGAGACTATTCTCTATCTCATATGTGGTAAGTAGACAGATCACTAGTGGTAAAGAAGAGAGTTCAGATCCTCCCAGGAGTTTAAACAACCAAAGTTGCCATAGGTTTTATCCACTTCTATTTGTGGCTATTGAATTTCAGGATCCCACTACTATCTCTTAATTCCAACACGCTCTAGAGTTAAGAAAGAAATGTACAAAATAGGACAAAGAAAGCTCAAACTTCATCAACTGAGAGTCAGAAAAAAATGTGAATTCAGACACATTCTTCTTCAAGAGTAGAATCATTGAATGTGGACATTAACAGGTCAATATCAATTGCCCCAGAAACGACTAGGTCAGCATCACTGACAGCATCAGTGAGATGAAGCATTGCTACACTCAGTGCCACTATCCAGTCAGAATGTCAGCAGTTCAACGAAGGCAAAGGTAGGACCACATTAATCTGGGGAGGAAGTGGAGGGAATCATGTGTCCAACTGAGTAGTGTCAGGAGAGAGGGCCAAAGATGTGCTTTGGTATTTTTCAGAAAATTAGTTTTTGACTAGGAGAATCATTTCTAACTTTTTGAAGAAGAAAATCTAAACAGTGAAACTGTTTAGAATTCACAGCAAAGCTTATTTTCCTTCCAACAGTTATTAGCTCTAACCTTCTAACGATGATTCTAATCCAACTATAAGGAAGACATGTGAGCTAATAAATTTTATTTTTTATTTTATATTTTAGGAGAATATAAACATAAAAGTATGGATTATTAGTTAAAAAGTGGTGACAAAAATTGCATTATATACACAAGACATTAAAGTGGGAACGCTAGAAATAATGAAACTGATACACTGCAGCGAGAACAAGAGAAAGAAAATAGCATTTTCATTGGACACAATTTTTTGTTTGTGACCTTTATTGATTAAGCTGACTGCTTCTGATGAAAAAGTTTGTTTTGGTAATAAAAACAGTGAGGCCTTAGATAACATTTTTTAGTATACTGAAACACAAAAGAAAATATGTGTGCATGTAATGCATTGCATTAAAATTACACTATAACAACGCAAAAGTAAGTTAGAGGCAGATAACTGCTATCTTTCCACTGTCTCTATGTTGGGCATAGTTATATTCAAATCATCACCAATGACATTGGAAAACACCACAATTTTTTTACATTGTATCTTTCCTAGTTTTAAAATTATTTCAGATAGATTATTGTTCAATCAAATGGACATACACAGGATAGCATTGTTCGTACTTACAAAGGTTTATAGTCAGGACGGTGGACAGCCCAGGCTGCTTTTCTGCATCATGTGGGATAGGGACTGTGATTCTCTGCTCTTGGCCTGAGAAGTAATCTTTTGTTAAGAGCAGTGACTTGTAAATAGCTTTTCTCTGAAGGGACTGCTTACACTTTTCCTGGAGAATGGTATGAAAACCATGCCTGAATAGATATACATTTATGTAAACATACAAATTTTGCATCCTTGAAAGCATTTCACTGATTCTGTGAATATGATGTATAATATATAATCACCCTATAGCCACTTTCTAAGTTGAGTCTGTCCTCAAGGTACAAATCTCCATCTCAGTTCTAACAATAACTATTTGCATTATTAACCAGGAATCTTGTCAACACAACTTGGAGCCTATCTTAACTCAGACAGAAATCCCAAGGCTATTTCCTCTTAACTCAGGAACGAGACAAGGATGTCCACTCTCTTCACTTTTCTTCAATTTAATATTAAAATGCCTAGCTACAGCAATAAGACAAGCTGCAAACATAAAAGGGATCCAAATAGGGAAAGATGAAGTAAAACTCTCCCTCTTCACAGATGACATGATCTTGTATTTAAAAAATCCCACGGACTCCACTCCCAAATTTCTCGAGCTGATTCGAAACTTTGGCAAACTTGGGGGGGGGGGGGCGCAAATGGATGAGAAGATGGGAAGGGATGGGAAGGGGAAACTAAGGAGGAGGCAACAATGCTTGATAAGAAATGTACTCATTATCTTGCCCATGTAATTGTAACCCCTTTGTACGGTATTTTCACAATAAAAAAAGAAAGAAAGAAAGAAAGAAATCCCAAGGCTTGATACGGTAGGTTAAAAATAGAATTTTCCAAATTAAATTAAGTGAAGTAAGCCAGGCCCAAAGAAACATAGGTCCCATGGTTTCCCTTATTTGCAATAACTAGTATATGTCTGGGACAAGCAGAAAAGGTCAAAAGCTATGTACATATGACCAGATAAGATGATCTTAAGCGAAATGAACCCCAAGATAGGGACACAGGTGGTTTTTTCTTTCTTGCTATTGTTGCTAACGTATTTATAGCATACTATGTGATTTTTTTTTGTTTCTTTGTTTGTCCCTCCCCCATGGTATAACCCCTGTTTTCACTGTATTTGATGTCAGTGCCCTGCATCTTGTATATACACTTCCTTAATTCGGGGAGGGGAAGGAAAAAACAAAACGCTTAAATAGGGATACAGGTTGACCCATTGTAACAATGAGATGTACAAGACACTATGTTGAAAAACGAACTTTACAATTTACAGGGGAGGGTGGGGGAGGGAGTGTACTTGAGGAGGTGGGAGGGAAGGGATGGTAGGGAAAAAACAAAGGAGAAAATGTACTCATTACCTTGTTCATGTAACTGTAACCCCTCTGTACAGTATTTTTACAATAAAAACGTATTAAAAATGAATTTTCCAGGAACAAAATTTAACACATCTCTCAAAACTTAGTAACTTAGGAAGTTTAAGAGAATATAATGATCTCAGTAAGGAAGACTATGTCCTTGGAGAGTCAAATACCTTCTTTTAAGAATGGCAAATGACAGGTATCCTTTAAGCACTCACTTTGGGGTATTTTTATAACCTTCACAATTGAAGTGCAAAACCAATTTCTTAAAGCAAAAGTTTAAACCATGTTTCTAGAGTTTATAAACGCAGTCTGACAAACTTTATTTTCTTCATTATCTGTATCATTTCAAATTAGTACTTATTTTAAACATGTTTTTAGTTACAAATATCATTAACATCCTTTTGTGCAATGAAATATTTTACAAATGTAATTTTATAGTAATACAGTAATGAATTATAGCAAGAATAAAGATATAAAGTTTTGCTTTTAAAACAGAATTTTAAGTATTTTTGTGGGTTTTGGGGTTTTTTGTTGCTGTTTTGTTGGTTTGGGGGCTTGAACTCTGGGCCTGGGCACAGTCCTGAGCTCTTCATCTCAAGGCAAATACTCTACCACCAGAGCCACAATGCCACTTCCAGTTTTTTTAGTTGTTAATTGGAGATAAGAGCCTCATGGACTTGCCTACCCAGGCTGGCTTTGAACTGTGATCCTTAGATCTCAGCCTCCTGAGTAGCTAGGATTACAATCTTGAGCCACTGGCACCCGGCTATTTTTAAATCAATATAAAATAAACCAAAAATTTGTGCAAATAATCCAACATCTAGAAACAAACTTGAGTTACCTCTAACACATATCATTATATATTTAACATACTTTATTAGAAATTTATCAAAAACTATGAAAAATCAGTATTTTAAAATGAAAGTTTGAGTTTTATTTGATTCATATTAATATAGAACATTATAAGTCTACTAAGATATCTTCAATTCTAACTAAAATCTTTCACAGAAACTTTTAATATTAACCTGTGACTCAATATAAAAGTAAAACTTGTATTTTAGCCGGGCCTCAGTGTCTAATGCCTGTAATCCTAGATAATCGGGAGGCTGAGAGCTGAGGATCACAGTTCAAAACCAGCCTGGGCAGTAAAGTCCATAATAATCTTATCATCAATGAACTACCACAAAGCCAGAAATGGCACTGTGCCTCAAAATGATAGAGCACTAGCCTTGAGCACAAAATTTCAGGGAGAGTACTCAGGCCCTGAGTTCAAATCCAATTAAAAATTGGGTATGTTATGATTTAGTATTTACACATGACTAATACCATCTCTTCAATTTTACATTTTAGTATTACTAATAGTGAAAGCTGATCAATGATATTCTAGTCTCCAGTGCCGCTATGCGTTTGCATATATTGCTTTCTTTGTCAAGACCAGGTTCTTTTGATTAAACTAAGGAAAAAAGTCTTTACTTTTTCATATTTTATATGAAACATTAAATGAAAATTCTTACTCCTTTTGACTGACTTTTTTTAATTTTTTATGCATGTTAATACTTTTCATGTATTCAAAAGCTGATCATTATTATAATTTAAATGTTTATTTTTTCTCCTTAACAGACTTCTACATACTTGAAAATACTTTCCATTTTTGTTTCTCAGAGCCTAGACAAAATTGAACCAATATTGTAAGCTAGAAATAAATGAATATAACTAAAACATAAAAGTAATATTAACAATAACCAAAGAGGAGAATGTAGTCCAATGGTAGAATAAAGTCCTAGGTTCAATTCCCAACACTGAACACAAAAAGGAAAGCAAAGAGAGAAAAGACAGACAGGAAAAAAGGAGGAGAGAGAGAAAAAGTGCAAAAAAGAAAGAGAGGAAGGAAGAGAGAAAGGTCCTAAAGTCTTGTAAATATCTTTCTTTGACTTCCACCTTTTTGAACACTAGTAATATCCTAATATCCTCCTTCTCTGAAGTTTAGTCTAATAATAAAATTAGCTCTGTTTAATCAGTAAACATTAGTCATCATTATTTAACAAAAACAATAACCAATAACTAAAATGTCAATAATCAATAAAACATGAACTACATTTTCTTTTCTTTATTTTTCTGATATTAGACTACAAGTCTACCTTTTGCTGAATACTTAATAATTATGTAGGTATATTTTAAACTATACATTCAATAAAGTTTTGCTACTTTCCAAAAGAAACATTTCTTTTGAACTCAAAATTAACTCCTAAAGTAATTGCTACACACATTTCAAATACTTTATTTTCAATATTTTTATGAATAAGAGACTTCTTTCATTCTAATTTTCAGATTGCCAATCAAAAGCTATAAAAAATAATGTATAAAACCCTGAAGTTCACTCTTGCGCTCTGAAGTCTCAGAACTTAGGAGAAATGTATTTATTGTAAATCAACACTGTAATACCTGCATTTGGTAATATAAAACATAAATATTCAAGTCCATTAGGTCCACAAACTGTCTTGAGTCACTCTAAAAAAAGTTCTAAATTGCCATAAAGACTCAATTTCAGTATATGTATATAAATTTAAAATGTTTTCAGGAATGTAAGCAAAATTTGTGTAAATAAATGCTATAGAAAATTTTCATAAAAATGAACTATTGAAATTAACTAAGTTTTCAATCATTCTTTTTTTTTTTTGAGGGGGGGCAGGCTGTTGTAGGGTTTGAACTCATGGCTTAGGTGCTGTCTCTCAGATCTTTTGACTCAAGACTAGTGCTCTACCACTTGGAGCCACAACCCCACTTCCTGTTTTTGAGTGGCTAATTGGACATAAAGAATCACATGGGGCCTTTTCTTCCTAGCTGGCTTTGAACTGCAATTCTCAGATCTCAGCCTCCTGAGTAGCTAGGATTACAGGCGTGAGCCACCAGCACCCAGCTTAAAAATTCTTTTTAAATATCAAACTATATCTTCAAAATATCTTTCTTACATAAAAGATTTTAATTAGTAAGAGTAAGACACGTTGAAAGAAGTTAATGGGCACACCGTCACTGCCTTCTACAAATCATTCTTCTCTTTGTCATTGGTCTAAGAGTTACATTATTGACAAACCTCGTATGTTGTTGGGCCAGGAGACTCCTCTTTGACATCTTGGAAACGCTTTGGTACGTTAACAAATAAGGGAATGGGACAAGATTTCTTCAAAACAGGATCGTATTCTCCAGGCCCTAAGAGGGGAAAAAATTCAGAAAACATAATTTAAGTATGTTTTCAAAATTATTGATTTTGGTCAATGTATTTTTCTCTTACATTTATAAATATATATATATATATATATATGTAATATTAGCAACAGTCTCAGGTCCATTTTCTCTGAATGTTTTTTAAATCATTCCATTCAGGGATTTGAAATATAAGCGGACCATGATGATAGCTATTTTCTTGATCATGAAATGTACTATAGCAATGATTTCTAAAACTGAGAAAATGATACTTCTCAAGTTACATTCCTATAGATGATGGGTTCATATGAATGATTTTAGTGCCTCTGCTCCATTATTATAGGATGTCTTAAAAGCTTTAAATAGATGACACATTCTAGGCCAATTATTCCAATATCAATTAAATTGATGCTACAGATATCCCATTACAAAGCACTTGGAGGAAGTTAATGTGTTTTGATTTACCAAGTGATAAGTAAAAGTATTTTAGCTAATGTAATCTTTCTATAAAATAGTAGCACACATGGTATTAGAATCATATAGTTTATAATTAGAATATAGAGGGATGATGCATATACATATATATAATATATTAACAAAGTTTCACACACAAACTGCATTCATTACTGCAATATCCCAAAAAAGAGAACACAGACTATCATTATCAATAAGTTATTCCAGTCAGTTAATTGAACACTGCAACTTCATCCAGGTGCCAGTAGTTCACACCTATAAACATAGCTACTCAAGAGACCTGAGATCTGAAGGATTGAGGTACAGAGCCAACATGAACACAAAAGTCTACAAGTCTCCATCTCCAATTAACTAGCAAAAAGTTGTGTGGCTCCAGTAGTAAAGTACTAGCTGAGCAAGCAAGCGAAGAAGAGTATGTTCCTCTGAGTTCAAGCCATATTATTCAAACACGCACACACACACACACACACACACACACACACACACCACATATATGACTTTAACCTTAAAGATTTACAAAGGTTGCTAAAATAGGTAAGGTTATTATCTATTATGATTGTGATGGTAAATTCCACTTTTAACTATGAAGAAATAGTCTATCATCTGCCGCTTACTATCATGCTATAGCAACTGATATGCATATTCCTCATTATAACTTATTAACAACAAATTATTTCATGTAGTAGACTTCTTTATATTAGAATTCCTTTGAGGGGTATTAAGTGAGGCAAACTTCTTGCTACAATTTAGAACTTAGTATACTTTTTTATTGTGAAATTACTGTACAGAGGGGTTAAAATTACATGGGCAAGGTAATGAGTACATTCCTTATCCAGTATTGTAGCCTCCTCCTTTGTTTCCCATTCCTATCCCTTCCCATCCTCCCCCCACTCCCTTACCCAATCCCCCTCCCCCCCTCACCAAAGATGTAAAGTTCGTTTTTGACATAATGACTTCTACATCTCATTGTTGCAATGGGTCCACCTGTACCCCTTCCCTTCCACAAATTTGACAGGCATCAAATACAGTGAAAGCAGGGGTTATACCATGGGGGAGGGACATACAAAGCAACAAAGAAATGATCTTATAAATGTGAGAACGTAGTCTATTTTATGAGTATTTTTAAATAAATTTTTATTGTGAAAATACTGGACAGAGGGGTTACAGTTACATGAGCAAGGTAATCAGTAAATTTCTTATCAAGCATTACTGCCTCCTCCTTTGTTTTTACTCTACCATCCCTTCCCTCCCACATCCTCAACTACACTTGTCCATCCTCTGCCTAAATTGTAAAGTTCATTTTTCAACATAGTGTCTTGTACATCTCATTTTTGCAATGGGTCAACCTGTATCCCTATATAAACAATTCGTTTTTATCTCTTCCCCTCCCCAAATTATACCAACATCAAATACAATGAAAACAGGGGTTATACCTTGGGGGAAAAACATACAAAGCAACAAAAAAAATCAAATGGTACCTGATAAATATGTTAGAAACAATAACAAGAAAGAAAAAAACACTTGTGTCCCTTTCTTGGGGTTCATTTCATTTAACATCGTCTTATCTAACCTTTTCTACTTGACTCAGACATATACTAGTTATTGCAAACAAGGGAAACCATGGGACCTATGTTTCTTTGGGCCTGGCTTACTTCACTTAATAGAATGTTTTCCAAGTCTTTCCATTTCCTAACAAATGGGGCAATGTCATTCTTTCTGATGGAGGCATAGAATTCCATTTTGTATATATACCACATTTTCTTGATCCATTCATCTACTCAGGGGCATCTGAGTTGGTTCCATATCTTAGCCATGGTAAATAATGCTGCAATAAACATAGTTGTGCTGGTAGCTTTAGTATGGTCTTGTTTGTGATCATTTGGGTAAATGCCCAAAAGTGG